TGAGGGAAGCTTTCTTGAGTGACATCTTGAAAAGCCACTTGGCCCGGCTTGTGGACTTTGTTCAACATTTCCTTGGAAAGTTCCACCACTAGCTCGGCTCCCAGCTCTTCTTCAGGATGTGCAAGCCTGATTTGCTCTCGGCTGGCTTTCCACAATCGTCCTCTCATCGAAACCCAACAGGAACGGTTGTTGAGGTCTTCTGCAATGAGGACACCTGGGCCGGTCCAGCCTTTGTAAGATGGGGTGTCTCTGAGATCCATGAGCCTGGTGCTAGGCTCTTCATGTCTGAGGTTCTTGTCTTGGCCCTTATGCTTCTTCGGATGGCCTCTTGATCCTGTCTCCGAACCCACTCCTTGGTGGCGATGTCTTGAATCTCCCACAGTCTTCGCACCGGTTCAGTGACTGATGCTTGCAGGAGTTCTTGGTCCATGGAGTCGGAGGTCAACATCGAACCGGGGATGCGGAGGTTCTTGCCAAAAACTCTTTGCATGGGAGAGAAACCGAATCTGTTCATGAACCTGTTCCGCGCCGACACAGCTTCAGCAATCACTAGGTGAAGCTCTTCTGGGGTTGCAGACACTTCATGGGCTGTTGCCAAAATCTTCTCCTTCAGGATTCCTCCTGCGCGTTCTGTGCGGCTGTTTTGCCATGGACTTTCTGCATCAATGTAATGCAGCCCACAGCCTTGGCCTCCTAGCATTGCATGGAACTTCTCATTGAAGAATTCCTTGCCTCTGTCCATGACCAGCAGCTCAGGCGGGCCGAAAACCTTGACCCACATGTCCATCAACGTCCGCAGAACTTCATCGGCTGACTTGTTCTGGCACAGGCTTGCCTGCTGGTAGTTGGTTCCCCAGCATAAGGCATGGAGCAAAATGTACTCTCGCCCAAAGATGGGTAGGAAACAAAGGTCGACTCCCACGACTTGGTTGAATTCGAGGGACCTCATCAAATGGCCTGGCCTTGCGGGACTGGGCTTGGCTCGACTGGCGCATGTGGCGCATCTGAAGTGGTCCTTGGTCCAACGAAGGATTTCTGATCGCACTCCAGAATTCTTCAGGGCTCGTAGGAACAACTCAGGAGCTGGATGTCCCAAATTTCGGTGGAGCCTGTGCACCTCTCGGCGCAGCGCTGGGGCCAGTGCAAATTGCCCATCATCTGTTTTGGAGAAGTCGTCAACCTTCTCCAGAGCCTTGGCGATCCTTGGCTGCTCTTCCAGCCGCCTCAGCTCTCTTCTTACATCCTCTACAGCATCATGCTCCGGAGGTTCAGGCATTTGAGCCCTTGGTTCATCTGATGGGTCCACCTCCGTCGGCTCGTATTCGTTCATTTGGTCCTCCTCCAATGGTCCAAATTCGGTCGGATAGGATGAGGTTGCATACGACCGCTGAAATTCCTCCTCCAACTCCACTTGGTCTTTGGCATACAAGTAGGCGGCTTGGCCCATTGCCTTGCCCTTTTGAACTGCCTCCGGCGGTAGGCCATTGGTGTCTGCCTTGATTCCAAGAGCTGCTTTGATTCCTCTCAGAATCGCCTTCACAAAGGCGGGCGTGTAGATGGCAGCCCCACTGGCTGCTCCACCAATGAGTTGACCGTGTTCATGGCCTTTGTCACAGAGACGGCTGACATGGGCGGCCATCTCTGCAATGTTGGTGACCAGCATGGTCGGCTTCTTCACCAATTGGTCTTTGTATGGCCCACTGGTGGCACGTAGTCCAAAGCGGCACATGTCGAGGAGGATCTGGTATACTCCAGGCTCCTGGAGTAACCGGTTCATTTCGTCCAGTTGCCATGAGGAGGCACTGAGTGGCAGGCTGCTCGAGCACAAATCCTCTGTGCTCCCTGAGTTGGAGGCGGCACAAACTGATTGCAAAGAGCATGTGATTGAGACCTTGTTCATACTCTTGCTGAACGACCCTTTGATTCCTCTTGTGGTTTGAAAGGGATCGGAGTCTTGAGAAGACCGTGCACGGTGGGCTCAAAATGAGCACTGCCGGTCGGTGCTTGGCGATCAGTTGGAGAGCCTGGCGACGGTGTTCTGGCAGATCAAAGTTCCAGCCCGTCGTGAGGTCCAGGGCGAGTTTGGCTCGAAGGCCTTGTTTTGTCGCTTCCTTGGTGACTCGGGGCGGTGAGTACACCTCTCCAACCTGATCGAGGAAATTTCGAAGCCCCTGTGACACGAAGCTTCTCTGTTCTTTGTCTAAGATCCTTGGCTTTCCATCAAAATCAGTCCTTCCAAGCTCAGTGGTGCTTGGAGTGAGCGAGTAAGCAAAACGAGGGGGCGTGATGCCAGCATTGTCCTCAGACTCCATCCGAGTGCCGAGCCAGTCGAAACGGCGGGCATCACACACAAAATGACTGCGCATGCCATCATCGCTGCTTTGGCGCCTGTCCCTTGCATCTTCATCGGCTTCTTTGTCGGCTGCTTAACATCCTTGCCGGCCGATAGGGACTGGGTGGCGTCGTGGGCTGGCGGTGGCACTGGAGAAAAGATACCCTCAAAAGGGTTTCGTGATGGCAAAGGGCCCTCCAAAATGGTAGGGCTCTCGTGAGACTTCGAACCCTGCTGGACTGGGTTCTCCGTAGCCGTTGTATCCTCTGCCTTCATGGGGAGGTCACTGAAAAGGAGCTGACCCCACTCGACTTCACTTCCTCGTCCGACGAATGGATGGCATGAACTTCCACCCTGTCCGAGATCCTTGGTGTTCGAGGCCTCTGCATCTCTTGGATCTCGCGAACACCGCTTGAGGGAGTGCGGCGTGTTGCACCACGAGGAGTCGGCCACTGGTTCATGAGCGCTGCATTCATGGCTTCCTTTGGGCCCATGTGACTCTTCAGCATTCCGTCCAAGCGCTCGTCGGCTGTCTGGTAGTCCGCTGGAATGCGGCCTTGGTTCTGCTTGGATGGCTTCTGGCTGGAGTGCTTGGCTGGCGATTCGATGATCTCCTCCAGCTGGAGGGCTGGAATGCCCTGGGAGTGCCTGGGGGCCGGGAGCGTCTTCGGGTAAGCCACCTTGGAGGGCTTGAACACTTCGAGAGTTGTCGGTGGTGGATCCGTGGATGATTGGGCTCCCGTGTTGAAAGCCTTGTCTTCGGCCCATTCCAAGCGCTCCCATCGTGACCCACATGCCAGGCAGGTCCACCAATGCTGACCACGGCCTGCTCGCTGCCTGAGCTGATCTTCTTCGTGGGCGCAATCTTGGGGCTCGAAACGCCAGGTCTTGCAGGCGCTTGACCGTTTCAACTCCTGCCCGATGCCACGGCGAATCTTTCCATCGCCGATCTTCTTGGAGCTCTTGGGCTTCTCCTTCACAGCCTCGACTGACTTGGGCTGAATGGTGTTGCGCTGCATGAGGTACTCCATGGCTGACCTTTGGGTGGAGGTCACGATGAGATTCAAAATCATCAATCCCATCCTGCGCCAAGCTTCCATCAGGCGCTTGGATCCCATCTTCCGATGCGGATTGGGTTCGTCTTGATCTTCCTGACTGCGCCATGCTGCCAGGCGGTTGAGCATGTCTGGATGCGAAAGTCTGCACCTGATCGTCTCGAGCTTGAGCACTCACACAAATCTGCAGGCGACTGGAGCTATTTGGAGCACTGAGAGGATGGGACAAATCAAAATATTCACACTTTGACTTCCTCTGTGAGCTAGACAATGCACCGTCACCTTGCAAACTCTGAAAACACAGCTCCTTCTCCAAGTCTCCCACCTCTGGTGCAGTGCGGTGGCTGGCGGTTGCAGTGGCCTCGCCAGATGCCGGTCGCACTTGGACACCGTCTTGAGGTTCGAGAGGTGGGTGTGGAGTGTCAGCAACGTCAACAGGAGGTGAAAAAACGTTCAAAACGCTCAAAAACGACATCTCCGGACCAAAAAGGAAATTGGCGTTGCTGTCCGGTCCACAGATCATGGATGTTGGAGGCAATGTCATCATCAAAAACAGCATGTGTGACTCTGCGGCCAGAAATGTGAGGCAACTCGGCTGGGGAGAGACACTCTGAAGGATGTACCAATGTATCACGAGGGCCTGGCAATGTGCCTACAAAGGTGACCACTTGACCTTCTTTGACCCATACTGCAACCCCTGGGCGCTGCTGAACACGATTTCGCTCTCCAGCAATGTCCATGTGAAACGGGTTGCGATCCTTTGCACCGAGTTCATCTGCCAGCTGTGGAGGGAGTTTCCACTGTCCAGAAAATTCGACAACAGAGATGGCTCGATGGCCGGAAGGTGTGCGCCTCATTGGGGTCCTACGGCCATTCTTCAAGGTGAAGATGTTTCGACCTGTATCAACAACTCCACCAACCAACTCAATGTACGAAATGGGCAGCAAGAACGGGGTCTCAAAATTCCCTTCATCAGCTATTTCGGTCACTCGAATAAGTGAGTTGCAGCGAGCCACACCAATCGGGATATCAAAAATCCCAACAATGCGTGCGCTTCCACCAATGCCGGCACAAGAAACTGTTGAGCCAGATGCCTCCACCGGCTGCAGCTTGAAGCGTGAAAGTGCTTCTCGAAGTCTTCGCATGGCATTGCTACCAATGACTCCTTCTTCAGCAGCGGTGTCCACAATGGCTTCTGTTCCTTCAGTCTTAACTCCAGCAAAGATTTGCACACACTTTTGCACCTCAGAGGATACATTCACCAGCACAGAGTTCACCTCTGGGGGTGCAGCACCCATCCAACATTCTGCTCGACCAATGCACTGTTGCTCAATGTTCCGTTGCTCAATGCTCGACGGTTGCACAATGCTATGTTGCTCAATGCTCGACTGTTGTACAATGTTCGACTGCTCAACGCGTGACTTGTCAATGCACGATTGCTCAATGCACGACTGCTCAATGCACGACTGCTCAATGCACGACTGCTCAAGGCACGACTGCTCAATGCTCAATGTACCCGGTCCAGCTTTGGAAGGCCCGACACCAGATGATAAACCAGGTGTATCTGATACACCTGGTTTTAGCACGTCAAGGTGCCGGTTATACTGGGCAATCTGGGCAGCATCGTCAGCATTTTGTCCAGCTTGGGAAGGCCCGACACCAGATGATAAACCAGGTGTATCTGATACACCTGGTTTTGGCACGTCAAGGTGCCGGTTATGCTGGGCAATCTGGGCAGCATCGTCAGCATTTTCGACCACATGTGCACTTGGGATCGGTGACTCAACTCCAACTACATATGTCCGTGACTGTTCCAACTGTGTTCCACGACACACGAAGAATGAAGTCCGGTTCTTCTGAGGACACTCCTTGCTCATGTGTCCCAGCTCGCCACAAGAGAAGCATTTTGTTCGAGCCATCAAGTCTTCTGGAGTGCCACGGTTTCCAGCTGAAGGTTTCCCTTTGCGACTTTTGTGCTTGCCCTTCTTGCCAGAGCCCTTGGCTACAGAGCGGCCTTTGGGTTTGTAGAACTGTCGACCTTTTCTCCTGGCTTGCAACTCCTTCCGGATGTCCTTGTAGGCACTATTGTAAGCCCAAATGTAGTTGGCCTCTTCTTCTGTGTACTCTTGGTGGGTGTCGAACAGCAAATAGTTCATTCCACCTTCTCCATCACTTTCTGGGCCTTCTTCCCAGTCTTCATCTGGGACCAACTCTTCATCCTCATAGTCGACTTCTTCGGCAGCCTCTTCGTCATCTTTTGAACCGGCGGCCAAAAAGGTCTTGGCCACCCGATGCACTAAGGCCTCCGGCCGATCCAAAGGTCGTAGGGCAGCGGCCATTTGTTCAAACGGCAGAAGTGAATTGTATTTGATTGCCAGAGCTTCCTTCTGGGTCTCGCTCAAATTGGCGTGACGTAGGAGTATTCTTCCAGCAATCCTTGGAGGTACCTTCTCACCAACTTGACTCTCCAGCTCAGCGAGGGCAATCTCCTTGGCTGCAATGTAGGTGGCCAAACTTTCAGATCTGTTTCTTTCGCTACCGTAGAAAAAGTTCTCCACAGCAGCGGGTCCAGCGGCCTCCAAGTAGGGACCGTACTTGGTCAATATTGCAGACAAGATTGCACTGTATCCGTGGTCTGAAGACAGCACAGTCAAGTCGAGAGCTTCTGCCACCTTGCGAGGCACACTCCCTTCAGGAAAGGATTGAAGTAGTTTCAAACCCCAACGTTGCTTCGGCAGGTGGTTGTCCAACTCCCACAATGACAAGCTCCTCAACCATGGCCTCAGGCTCTCAACGTTGCCGTTCCACTGAGGCAAACTCTTCTTGTCTCCGGATAGGGCAGCAGCCAAGGCCCGAAGCATAACTTCGTTTGAGTCTTGTTGCACAGGAGGTGCTGTCACAGGGGTTCGACCTAGCAATTCGAAAGCACTCTTGACAGACGGCTGTTCTCCAGCAGGTGAAGAGGTGTTCAATTGCTCCATCATTTGAGTGGCATTCAACGGAGCACCTGAAAGCGAACCGAGTCCTGGTGGCGTCATAGTCGAAGGCATGAAATTTCCAGCAAAACTCTGTCCTTGTCCCATCTGGGGACTTGTTGCTTGCATGAATTGTTGATATGGGTTTCCCATCATTGAACTCATTCCCAAACCAGTTCCCAGCATTCCTACGGAAGGGGGAAAGGCTTGTCCAAACATTGGGGCTCCAACGGTATTCGCTTGAAACCCGGGCGTCATTGGGCTCGATGAAGGCGGACCAGGAAATCCCTGACCCATCCCAGCACCCTGCGCGGTTGTTCCAGCAAAACCTCGGACCGAGGCGTCACCTGACGGTGCAGAGTGCGGCGAAAACCTGCCAGCAGTTGTAGGGTTGTTGGAAAAATATAGGTTACCTGAAGCACATGGTGTCGGACGATGCGAAGGTCCGGCGGCAGCTACGTTCGTAGGTTGCCCACACTGAGATGACGGTCCAGGTCCTGTGTACTGTTGCCAGGGATCCGATGCTTGGAGGGGATCCATGCAATCCAACGAACAACAACAGCTGGCAGGGAGCCGGAGGTCGTCTCCGGCTCCGCTACCACTGTAAAACTAGCGGAGTCAACTTGAAAGGGCGAATCGACACCGAACATTGCTGATCGGTCAAAGCATCTTTTGTCTACGGTGCTCAAGGATCCTTGACGGTGAAAGGAGCAGCGTCAGGGGAATGTCATGAGTGGCTTACGCTCTAAACTCAAGTTTCTCACAGGAGTGTAGATGACATTCGAGCTGGTATGAAGGTGTCATCTTCCCTCGCTGAATCTGAATCCACTCTTGCCAGGTGTGCACGCACAAACCAACAACCGCAAAGGGTCATACACTGCGTCATACATATATCACACATCATTTATCTCATAAATACCAGGTTTCAGTGGATGGTTCGATTTCAGGCATTTCACAATACTGATCATCTTTCACCGACTGTTACTGGTCGGCACATCCCTACCTCCATGTGATTCAGTTGAACGGATGATGATTGGTGCGCACCTGTGGTGTTTGCTCCGGTGTCGGTAGGACTCTCCCGACTGTGTGGCCTTCGAAACGCCCGCGTTTGCGGCCCCCGCAAGCGGGGATTCTCTCAGCGTCGTCGACGAAACAACCACCGAGGTCCAATCGCCCAGGCGCCTGGGGAAAGCGCCGCAAGGTGTTGATGAAATGCCTCGGTGTTGATGGATATTGGCACCCGTGAAAACGGTGTGAAGGCCACCATCGGACCACATCGGATGAGGACAGTTCCAGGATGTGTAAATAGGGAGATCAGGATAATAAGGCGATCCCCCTCTCTCCGAGCCTAGGTGCTCAAATTTCCACAGCAACTGCCAAACTCCAACAACTGGCTGGTTGCAGTTAGACTGATCGTGTGTATATATTTGTAGATATTATCTTGATATACAATATTGTGATCTTTAGCCATGACTCATCACACCTGACAATCTTACAGAAGCACTCAACATATTCATATGCGATGGCAGTGAGACCACTTGCGAACCATACTCAAAGGTCAAGGGCCCATTTGATTGGATTATTCAGGTTCTCGAAGAACCCCTATACATAATTGAGATAACAAAACCTCCAAATGCTTCAGCTTCTTTCTTTGGACCTCTAGGAGTTTTTAACCATTTCCTTCCAATCCTCCCCCCAAAAAACACACACAACCACCACCAGCCTGGTCCACCCGTGCCAAGGCTCCCAGGTTTGCTGAGCACCTCCATGGCGCCGGCCCAGGGCCTCGGCTGGACGGGAACCTTCGAGGAACGAGCACAGATCCTCAGCATCGGGCTTGGAAAAGGAGGATTCTGGTCCATTAGTCCATTGTCCTCGAAAAGTGCCAAGAAGATCCAATGCTGAAGTGAAGAACGGATGAAGATCTTCGCCTGGGTTCCCAAACAGAGTCGCAGCATTCTGTTATTTTCTCGACCTCCAGCTGGAATCGCCTCCAAGGTACTCATGCTCTCTCCGGACTGAGGATGAGCCATGTCAGTGCGAAAATGGTCCCTCCAGAAGGGGTGTGATGAAACGTGTGCGGACTGAAGCACCTTTTGGGTTTTGGGCGATTCCAGAACTGCTGGTGACTGAGCTGGCTGTGGGTCAAACCCCCGTAACAAGCGCTCTTTCTTAGGGATATCAACCCACCAGGGTAGTATTGTGCTTCCAGGTGCCATGACCCAGCTGGCCAGCTGGCCCCTCTTTCAGTTCCTCTTGGCCGGCCGACTGTTCGGGATCCAAGCTATGAATACCTCAGCGGTCATTGAACATCGGACAGCAAACTTGGGGCGGTGACCGTTTGGGTCCGATGGGCGGTGACGTGCTTCGTGGTGCGTCCGGTGGAAAGAGTGAAGTTCGTTTCGTTTCGGATGTCTTTGGTGCGAAGAGAGACACGGTTCCGTGGAAATAGAGGTGCAACAAAAGGAATGGAATTGTTGGACAAAAACCATGTTTCAGCAAACCACCTTTGTCCTTTGTTCGATCCGAGCGAGCATGACCGGGGGAGTGCTAAAATGGCCAGCAAATCGACTCACGACTAAGTCACATTGTGTGGCTTCCTGTGATTTCCTGGATCAATGATGGGACAGAATGACCAGTGACATCCTTCAGCTTTGAATAGGAGCTCAGGCCTGAGACCATTGGAATATTGCCTGATCAATCTCGGAAACTCCGACCTTGGCAAACGTATCCACTTGGACAAAGCGCCTAGTGGGCCTCGCTGATCTCTCTGCCTAAAGCATGAGCGTCCGCCGCTGTTCGTCCGAAAGCATGTCATTTCGACCCGGCCAGGGGAAACCTCTCGGCCAGGGGCTGCGATCCACGCAGCGATTTCTGCTCGAAATGATACGCCTCTGGCCGGGGTACAGTACCTGCATGTAGCTTAAGCATCCGACGTAGTGAGGACAAAAAGGCTTGCCAAATCGAGGAACTCGTCAGAAGTTCCCCCAGCCAACTATATTGTTGAACATTGGTGAACAAATAACAGAATAGAAGTTTGCAGGTGCCCAATTGTTCGCACCAGGACAATCCTGAGTGGATGTTCTGGCTGGACTGGGATCCGTGTTCTCCAGCCAGGACACCCAAACAGGATGGCCCTGGTACTTTGAAATAGACCAGAACCATCCAGAAGCAATAAGTCATAGTGCAGTCCAGCCAGGACACCCAGACTCAAACAGGATGGTCCTGGTCTATTCCATGTAATTACTAAATATATCTAAATATACTCTTACTCTCCTATTGAACATTACTCTGACTCTCTGGTAATAGGAGACACCTTACTCTGTTACTGTTACTAAATATACTCTTACTCTCTGGTCTGTAACATTTCGTGTCTTCCTGCGATGCTTAAAGACACCAAAGCACCGCTGCACACTGCTTGATTGACGTCTGATTTTGCGTCCACCCTGGAACAATTTCTTTTTCAAAACCATGAGAACGGGTTTTGGGGGACGACGCTTGACCCAAAACCGTGGTCGCCTCTCAGCAGCTCTCAGCCTTCAAGTTCGAACTCCCCCTCAGATCTCTTCCGAGCCGTTGTGTTCTCCACGCGAGCGGCTGACGTTCACCAGTTCGTCCAGGTTCGCCACGGCGCACACCGCCGCCGTCGCCGTGGCCTGAAGCTGTGGCCGATGAGCGATGTCCGGTCATCAATGAGAAAACACGGCAGAAAGGTAGAGAATCCATGTCAGAATCGCGTCAATTGGATGATCTGATTTTCTTTGTGAGCTTTCTGCCCCAAAAACGAGTGGCATCTAGTGGCCACGCTCCAGTGATGTGAGTGTTTCGCAGGCTGATCAAAAGGAGACATATTCGGCTCGTCTCATGTTGAGACTCTAGTGGCCACGCTGTGTCTTCGCATGAGACGCAATGGACTTCTTGGGACTTCGTCGAAATCCACGCACCACCGAGTCACCAAGACATAACTATACCAAGCACATCACACTATACACTTCTCGAGTTTTGTATAGTTTTGTTGCCCTTCCGAAGCAAGCAATCCGCCCTTCAAACACATATTGCTCAGAGCTGCATAGATTTGCTCAAGAACCTCAGGACCCGTGGTTCTACCACGACAAAACAAATCAACGTCTGTACATCTGAAGATCGCTTCATACCTCGGGTCACCCCCATCCCAGCAGGAAAACACAGAAAAAACAAACCAAACCAAACACATTGATTTAGAGTCTGAGAGCTCACCGGGAGTCTGACAGCTCACTGGGGTGAAACCCTTAGGGACAGGGGGTGACACACACAATAAACACACCCTCCAGGAGTCACAAAGGGGTGCCGAACTGGAAGATCATGGAGGAAGTCCGGGTGCCAGAACATCCACTCGCTGGATGGGACTAAACGCCACACCACACCACGAGCCATTCCATGTGACTCCTGGCTTCGAGCTCACCACACCAAGACCCAAAACTTCTCCGGCCTGGGCCAACAAGTCGGATGTGCTGTTGCGGAAGTCCAAAATGTTCTTCACCGAGATCTCCTCTCCGTTGAAACCCTCCAAAGAAAGCGTCAATTGGTGCTCCGTGGAATGAAACGCCTCCGTTTTCCACGCGGAGGCCTTTGTGCTCCCCGCCATGAAGTCCTTTTGGGAAAAATCAAGGACGCTACTAGGGGCTCCTGGCCTTACTACTAGGAGCAAGAAGCTGCTAGTAACAAAGGGCATCGCTACGAACGGAGCGATCGGACACTCCTCACTTCTTCCCTTTCGCATTTTGAAGGGGTCGATGCAACTTTCATGACATGTCTGACTGTCTGACATGTGATGCTTCTTCAGTACCCTATTGGTTCTTCACTGGGGGGGGGGGTCTCCCCTGTTGACTCTCCCAGACTGGAGTCCCAGTGACCCACGCGGAGTCCCCCGGTCCAAAGAGGTGGCTGCGTTCGCTCCGTCCTCCAAGCTCCGTTGCAGGCTTCGCTCCAGAGGTCCGGTGGGCGCGTCAGGTGCCTGGTGAAGAGAAGCCCACCTAAAGGGGTGTAGGTTTTGGTGAGTGGGATTAAGTGGGGTCAGTGCTTTGAGGGTCAGTTGTTTTGAAGAAAGGAATTGTACATCGAGTAAATTC